AGTCAGTTTTGTTGTCCATTTTCAGTTTGTTTTCATATAATCTTTTTTATTACCTTTAAATAAAAGTTCTTTCACTACTCATATTGTCTAAACTACATCTCAGAGGCGCAATGGTTTATCATAAGCATTTACTGTATATCATCTTAAAAAGTTGACGGAACAATCCATGAACAAACTTAATATTTCCACGGATACACCTTGCTACATCAACCACTACAAAATTATTATTTCCATTGATGTATATTCTTATACAAATTTAGATCTAACAGTGACGAATATCGTCTATATGTGCACGAGAAAAANAGCACGAGAAAAAAGAAAGTAAAGACCAATTGCAATGACTGGAAAGTCTACTGACGAAGGAACATTTTTAAACAATTAAATCACTCTTTCCTTAAAAACTATGGAATCCTATGTTCCTGTGCATCGGTGACATTTTTTCTGCTTTGAAAAACATTTTAGATTTTGGTTCGGTTCTGCTTAAGCTTTTCAAAACATGAACCGGCTCGATCCGATTCAATTTTAAAATTTTTCAATTCAATTTGGTTTGAAGAAACAGGAATCGATCCTCCATTTGCTAGGAACATTCAGAAATATAAATCAGGTCTGTTTCCCGTTACAGTCATCTGGTCAGTGCCGAATTTGAACAGTTCAACAGGCTTTCTTTTTTCATTATGTAATCAAGCGTCATATCGTTGATATAAGCTTTATTCTATCAGAATACAAGCGGAAAATATTCTATTATAGTATTCTAAACTAAAACTATCGAAAAACACAAAATCAATTTTGTACGAATAGAGATTCAAACATGTGAACTTAGTTTTGTAGTAAACTACAAAACTAAATTCACCGTTCTATATCTATATTCTGCACAACGATTGAAGTTGTGCAATCGACTCGATGTTACCAGTAGTAATTTTTTTGGTATGTTTTTTGTGTTCTGTGTTAATATATCGTTCGACTCAAGCTTCTGACGCTTATTCTGAATATCATCTTGGTATTGTGGAAAATACAACTTTGGTAATGAAAATGGCAAAATACTGCTGTTCGAGCACTATCGACTCCATCAAGAATTGTTTGTGGTTGAAACTTCGCTAATGACGGAAAAGTGAAAACAAGAGTATGACAAAGTATTTTTGATAGTATTTGGTCTGTATCTCGTCAAGAAAGTATTTTCATTAAGAGTGTTCTATGGCATCATTCTAGATCTCGTTAAGTGCTCTTGAGTGCACTTGCATATGTCTATAGTCATACAGGGGGATCTAACTAAAAAACTAAATTATAGTCATGCTCGAATTGACTCACAAAATGTTACGCATTACTAGAGTTCCGATTTTCTGTTGATGGTGACTTTTCTCCAGGACAACCAAGAGATATCGTTCAAAGACTCACATGCGTTCCTGCTCAAGTTGATCGGTTTGCCAAAAATGCTTTGTTTCCATATTTCTTGTGTTTCAAAAAGTCGGATGAAAAAGGGTTGAAGCAACTCCTCTTTAACAATAAACTTTTTTCAATTAAAAAACAGTAGAAAGTATACAGGATTGCATGGCCATCATTCTGCGTTAAAACGTCGGGAAGGCCGACTCCAGTACGTGTTGACTCCCGTCCTTTACAGAAATTTCATATTTGATGATATAAAGTAATAAAGTAGTGAAAGAACTTTTATTTAAAGGTAATAAAAAAGATTATATGAAAACAAACTGAAAATGGACAACAAAACTGACTAATGCAATAATGTTCTTTCGTTCACGTCGGTTCATGATTTAAAAGTGCCGTTTTTATTTCATAACTTGTTTCACCAATGGCAGGAGAAGCAGATATGGATTCTGAATGTCGTACAATTTTTTTCGATGTTTCGGGTATTGTCGAAACCAGAGATGTTTTAAATTTCTAAAATGAATTCAAATAACTCTCGTCAATTTAGTACAAATTACATCATCCAAAAACGCGTCTGCTTTAGGAAAAGATTTCCAAATTAACTTTTTATGAAACTATTACCCCAAGGTTTTACTTCTAAATACTCAAAATCCGAACTCATTCAGAAGTTATTTCAAAACAACTGAATGAATTATCTTTTGATATACGTAGTCTGACAGATCGAAATTCTCTATTTATAAGATCTCTTTTGAAATTTCTCAGTGATTTTTCCTGAAGATATTAGCATTGTCGTAAATGCTCGAAAAGAAGTGGTCTATTCTATGTTCAGAACACGAGTGGTTATGACCTAGTCATATTATGATCCCTTGAAAAAATCATCGCAGCAAGCCCAACTTTTTACCATACATGCTTTAGACAGTGTCTCAGATTTCAAATTTTTTTAGAACGTTTTCACTTTCCACTCTTTTCGTGAGAAGGCCATTAAAATCAAAAATAAACTTTTTAGATTAGAACTGTCAGAATTTTTTGAATATTTCGAGATCAAAAGTATCTATTGTCAGAAAAATGACTTAGAAACTGAGATAGAATTCGAAATATCAGCAGTAAAAGTTTGAACTCAATCGGACCTTCGCGCCCACTTCTCTTAACAGAATGGAAAAAATAGGGATGGGAGTACTCTCAAATGATTATCTTTCAGCAGAATAAGAAACAATTTCATTTATCGTGTCTGCTGATCTAATGGACAAGGAATGCCGTTGCTACGGTCTTAGACGACGTTTTTCGGCAGCTTCACTTTGCCTTAAATACAACGAGAGTCACTTTATACAATATAAATGTGGGATGAGTATTTCGGAGTTTATTACTTAACACATGATCGAATTAGCTCATAGGACGTATGAAATAAATTATCGATATTGACTAAGATATCATTCATCTTTTTTTTCCCGTCTGCAATATTCACCTGCCAGAGTGTATTGCCATCTGCTTTGTATATGGCATGCATTGCTCCTAATGGTATAGCTATGATTGATAATAGAGCAATGCACCAACCCACAGTTTCAGCCCATACAGGAAAAACATAATCTTTGCCAAAACGGATGCGTTTCAAATCGGTAAAACTAAATATCCATATGGCCTAAATAAACAAGAAAATACTTCTAATTTAGATAGAACAAATAATATTTTACTAAAGAAGATGAAACAATAGCAGCGGAAAATGTCAAAAAATTTCTCATTCAAATTTATTTTGATACATCACGATTTTATTTATTTTCTTTCTCTCATTCACAGTTTATCATTTACAGACAACAGAATAACTTATACAGATTGTGAATATAAAACAACGATATTTTTAATTTTTTTTTTTCTTTTGTTATCATCAATCTTTGCATATGAAATGAATCATTTCAAAACAATCATCTATTTTTCTTTTGTTGATTAACATAATAAATGTTCGCATCACATTATCCGATTCATTTTACTTAGAAGTAGCTTCATTTGACGTAGCAAATATGAAAAATTTGATCTTACTAATATAAGTGCTGGGGCTACTGCGTACCAGCAAATGACAAAAAAAATGTGTGGTTGTTTGCCAGTCATTTCTTCTACATTATTAGCCAAACGTTTTGCACCTGAAAAATGCTAGCATATAGAGTTGACAAAATCATGAATATGGCATTATTTACCATAGAACCAAACGATGGCAATAACTTCAAAGAACGCAATATACATTAATGACACACCAGCAGCAAAATGATCAACCAATGTAAAAAAGTAAATACCGGCCTAAAATAAAACAAGGAAAAATGCAAGAATGATTGTATCAGATCTGATAAAGTGGATAATATACCTGCGTGAAATAAACGAGTCCTAGCAGAAATGTGATTAAACAAACAGCTATGACAAGATATTCTTTTCGTTTAAAATATTTCCGAAAATGAACGTGGAATTCATCTTCAATCGTTGTCACAACTACTTCGACCATTGTAAACTAGAATCAAGACGAACATAAAAGTAATCGAATATAAAATCTTTGAAATAAAAGTCTTTATTGGAAGATGTTGGTCAATCACAAGTGTCCACTTACTTGAGAGTCAATGCCAAGAAATAGTAGCATAAGAAAAAATAATATTGCCCATAATGGAGCCACTTTCATTGTAGCTATCGCTTCAGGATAAACAGAAAACACCAGACCAGGACCTAGAAGCACTTCGATATACCCTTTTCTGTTTTGAATCTAACGCAAAGTCTTCTCAGATGAAAAAAGATCTTAGCAGATCTCATGTTTTCTTAGAAAGTCTAATAGTAAGATAATCTTATGAAAGCATAAGAAATCTCGTTGCCCATTCTCATATAATCCTGTAAAAATATCGTTCACTCGGACGTTCTTTGTTTCAATGAAATTTTTGATTTGTAAGCAAGAATTATTTGAAAAAAATTCTCTGACCCACAGCGTCAGTCAACCCTTTCTCTAGAATCGATGAGGACTAAGATAATGGCCAAAAATCTTAACTGTGTGTGTGTGTACATTATAGAAAAAAAGTGTACCCGTACACGTGTAAAAGTTCTAAGTGTGCAGGTATGAAACAAAATGGTGTGCAAGTGCCGTATGTTTTAGACATGCTTTATTTTTTGCAGTGTGTGTCGGCTTGCTATTTTATCACGTACGGACTTTCCTTGTTTTACTGCCTCCAGCGAATAACAATACTTTCCTTTATGTTTATGATACACTTGGAGTTGACCAACCGTCACAGTGAATCCTGCAAGCAACAGCGGATTTTACTGACACATATGAAACGGATGAAAGTCGTGTATTCAACCAAAAATCAAAAGAACTGTCATTTTTTTCGAATCTGCTAGAGTTTCTATAGGGCGACTTATCTCTCTGCTATCGAAAAGAAATGATGAAAACTTGAAAAATTTCCCTCTAAAAAAATCTATTTTAAAGTGAGGGCCGAATTCCTGTTTAATTTTTCATACGACCGAGCTGCGTGTTATGTTCTACATGCGTTAAAGTGCGTAGTTTACGAACTTCAGAAAGCTAAGTAGATTGCTCCATTACTTTATAGAGTAACACTAGAAAATAGAAAATAGTAAATATCTAAGTAATTTTAGTGGATCCGAAAAAGACTGAGTATCCATTTGATCTTTCTAGAAAATTGCAGAAAGCGAAAATTCAGCTAAATCTGATCGCCGATTTCTGGTTTAGTTTTGTCATATGTCTATTAATCAAATTTTTACGGTCAAAAATTATATTATAGCAACTCAGGAAAGAAGTGCAGAATATCAAACAGAAAACTGATTTTACGTAAAAAATACGTTGAAACCTCTTAATCTCCAGGTCATACACCAAAATACGATTTTTTTATATAATATTATTTTAAAAAAGAACTCTAGTTTAGCATGAAAAATAATATCAGAATGTTTTCAACCAATCCAAAAACTAATTGAATATGAGTTTACTTATGAATCCAACTAATCAATAGAAAGGTGGAGAGGCCACAAGATTTCTTTGAATAAGATCTCTGAAGATTAATAAATCTAGATTCGTTTACCTTGTAGGACGACATTGTCAATGTCTGTCTTTTGTGTATGTGCAATGTAACCAAGAACAGAAAAGATAGCTGTGCCAGCAATTATGCTCGTGAATGCATCCAGAATCACCACGGGTAACACATCTCTAAATGAGAAAATACTCAGTAAGTCACCATTATCGCTGCCACAATAGACAGTAAGAACCGTCTCAATATTGTTTGATCTAATTCGAAAAATGAAGTGTCGGCGTATAGTTGTAGGAAATATGCTCACACTAACAATTTGTCTATTTTAAGATAGTGCGATGAGATGATAGAGAATATGTGGTTCTACCTTATTATGTTATTGTTAAAATTGTTATAGCTTGACATAGCAATGAGTGATCCAAATGCAATTCCGACTGAGTTAAAATTTTGTTGTGCTGCCTTCAACCACACTTTGGCTTTTAATAAATCACCCCATTTTGGTTTGAAAAAGTAAATGAGTCCTTGCTTAGCTCCAGGCAATGTGCAACCGCGAATAACGAGAATTAATAGAACAATGTAGGGAAATGTGGCTAAAATCGATATACAACATGCTAATACATCATCATATATACATAAACCCATTTTGTGTCTTAATCTTACCAGTTACGTAGACAACCTGAAAGGAGATGAATAAGAATAAACAATATAGTACCACAAATAATGCCCAATTTCCCCCTCAGAAATCGATGATTTTCATAGAAAACTTGAAATTGAGTTTCTTGCTCAGTTAGATAGGCCAAAGTCTCCTCTTTCAGAATATGTGTTGCTTTCCACTAAGGAACTACTTTTTGATGAGTTTTGAGCGGTTTTCTATCAACCATCTCAGTTTTTAGTCAATCTTTAGCAACTTTTCCTTAGTTGCAGTGGATAAAATAGCGCCATTTTCAGTAGTGAAGATGTTTACTTAGTGTACTATCCCGTAATCATGATATCTGATATTTCTGTCAGATATTCATTAAGTTTTTTAGCGGTCAAATAACCTCTTTGAGGATAAAAGAAAGAAGGAGCCAATCACATCTCCGACGCTTGTTTCATAAATATGTATCATACTCTTATATTGAACCTTAGATCTACTGTCACTATGCTCCTCAAACTTGCTTAACGTTTTTCTCAGAATATGCTTTTAGAGGAGCAAAATTGTATCTCTTCCCAGACGATTCATCGTAAAACCTTCATTTCTTTTTATTTTGAAGCTAAGACATTTATTTAAATTTTGTCCGTCGCGATTTTTGAATTTCGTTTTCTTTGTAGAGATAAGTGACAAATACGCCGCCGAATTAGGGTTATTTTCAGACTTCTGACTTAAAACATGTGTAGGGAATGAACAGAAGCGAAATCCAAAAATCCGTGCGGACAAGCGTTCTGTCCTTTCCAATAACATAGTCTTAGTGTTTTAGCTATGAGTTCCATTTTGCCCGTTTTTCTATGCCATTGAATACATCGATCTTGTTGAAACAGAAAAAGTTACTAAAGTAAACTTCTACTGCATTTTAACAATGTCAGTTAAGATAGATTTATATTTATATAGGACTATTATTATGCACTTAAAACAAGCTGCTGTAGTAATTAATTTTTTTTAGAGAGAGTAATTTTTTTCATCTATTATAATTTATATCTCACATATTGATATTGAATGAACAGGTGTAGACCGTCCTTGAATCGCATCGAACTCAGAACATAACGTATGGAAACAGGTTATCGACCACGCTGAAATGAGATTCAGTGTGATCCATAACCTGTTTCCATACGTTTTCAAATTTCTAAATATCAAGAAAATCCGGTTCTGAAGTATCTCAGCAAAACTCCGCTCCTGCCCGAATGATCGCAGATGAAACTGTCGGGTTTTGGTAGATATGTGGACTAGATGTCGCTTTATGTTGGGCGTATTTTCAAACATTAGACTTGTATGAAAAGTTAGGGAGCGGCAATCTTGTCTTGGGAACACGGACCAGGTGGACCGTGGTAAACCTCATTAGTAGAATTGATTTATACATAGGAAGATGCTGTCAGGTCCTAGCTACAAAACACTGAAGGTCGTAGGTCTTCATCTTGTTCCATTAAAAAGTTATTGAAAAAATGACCTAGGCCACTATTCATTTGGACAGATAATAGATGAGGAATTCTCTCGTTTCGTCCCATTCCCATTTCATCCCTTAAATTTTCGGTGTCCCCTCGATTCGTCCCTAATTGGCTTTGTAGACAAACAACATGAAAGATGATATTCAAAGTGAGGGTGAGCAATTAGGAACGCATCGAGAAAAATTTCCTATTATTCTCTTTATTTGTAACTATATATTTATTTTATAACTATAAATAGGACTATATGCTCTTACGGCACCGTTGAATGTTACTTCATGCACTTAGGAGCATTTCAAAATCTTTACTCTCTTACTTCCTGCTGTACTCCTTTTCTGCTTTACTTCTTTATTTTTCCTTCTTTAGTCTTTGACTCCTTTCCTTCTTTACTGTTTTGCTCTTGAACGAACTGTTTAAAAAACAGTAAAGAAGGAAAAAAGTAAAGTAGAAAAGGAGTAGTGCAGGAAGTAAGAGAGTAAAGAATTTTGAAATGTTCCCTTATTCAACATGCTGTTCTGTGGTAATAATAATAATGTTTTACATAACAACAAAAAGTAGTGGACAAATTCTTAATTTTAACGTGATCAATCGCTTATCGATTATCAATCAAAAGATATGAAAATGGTGCTTTGTCTGGAACTAAACTTGCAATTAAATATGGCAAATACGTTACTATTGTAAAGCTACTTGTTCCATGTAAGTTGTCAATAAAATAGTAAATGAAACGGCTACTTCTTAATTGAGACCACTATTTTTTGTACTCACTACCACCTGGCTTTCCGCCCTCTGATGTTTATTTGATGTCCAGACTTCCAAAATGAGACCACATTTTATCAAAAAAAGTGATCTCTATTTAGAAGACTCGAATGAAACATACTGTTTTAATTAAATATATTAATATTGATTAGTACGCAGTTGATAGAAAGAAACAGATAGTTATAAAATAAATAGAATAATAGAAAATATAAGGAATGAAACAAGTCTGGAACGAAATGAGAGAGAACGAAACGAGAGTAAATCGTAGAGAATAATGAGAAACAAGTAATAAATAACAGAGTTACGTATAGACTCAAACTTCTGAGTACAGTCCACTCCGAGTCCATGACAAACAGCTTTTTCACTTCACGGACTCTAAAAAAGCAGTCCAGTCTTTTTTTCGAGTTCAGATCAGTCCGAGTCCATGAGCTCAAAAAAGTTTCAGTCCAGTCCATACAGAGCTCAGCTTATATATAATATAATAGAAATACTATGACATTTCGGCGTAACTAGTTTAAGTAAATATAGTTGGCAATTTTATCGCGTACACATTTTAAAATTATTATTTTTGTACAATACCAAAACCTATCCAATTATTCACGATATTTAAGAGAGTAAAAGAGGAGGGTCTTTTGAGCATCCAAATAATCTGACGAAATAAACTTTTTTCGCATCATAAAATTTTTCACCTGACTAGACTAATTTTTGAACTATTAAACTCACTTTTCCGGCGGATTTGACTCCTTTCCAAATGCAAAAGTAGACGATAATCCACAGTATGGCCGCATACGCGACTAATTCGTATCTCATTGAGCCAATATCGTTGATTGTTGATGACATTTGAAGAACTTTGTATCTAAAATACATTTTGAAATCAAATATCATACAAATTTAGATAAATAAAGTCTATCTCCTGACCGGTAATATTCATCTCCCGGTGATAATGTTCCATTCATTTTAAGTGTGTTGTTTGACAATTGTGAGTCGTAGGAATCGTAACACGTGTCTAAAAATGACACAATTTTGATCAAGAAACATCGAAAATACTATTGGTTATTTACTTTTATTCCAAGGATTTTTACATCCTTTCCATGGCACATCTTTTTGAAATGAATAAATAAGATAGTAGAGTGCCCAAGCCAGTATGACAACATAGTAGGTTACAAGCCAAAAGGTCATTACTACGGTAGCCACACCAGCACCTATATCAGTAAAAGTTAATTAAAGAATTTATTTATGAGAGTTTCATTTCTTCTCCTCGACTATTGTCAAGAAAAAACGCTTTCAGGTATGGTAAAAATAAATGGTGATCATGTACAATAGTCTATCGCACTCGACCACCAAGTTTCTAATTACAAATGGGTAGGTACGTGTTTGTCACATAAAACGGAGAATTCTAAATATCTCAGTTGAAACAATGAATCACATTTTCTTGAAATATTTTACCTTTTAATAATGGACAAATTTTTGCCAATGCTCCCACAGGTCCTCTTCTCGTATACTGACCTATTTAGAAAATTCATATTTTCGATCAGATCTTTTTAATCCGTATTTCATACTACACACCAACAGCTAATTCCATATACATCAGAGGAAATGCACAAAACAACAATGTGATGAAAAATGGAATTAAAAATGCTCCTGAACATAAATAAGTCAAATAAAATGTAGAGAGAAAGAAGAGTTAACTGTCTTCTACCTCCTCCACTTGAATAACATAAATAGGGAAATCGCCATACGTTCCCAAGTCCAACAGCGTAACCAACACAAGCCAGAATAAATTCAATCTTCTTCGACCATTGTGGACGAGTCAGCTGTTGTTGGCTGTTTGACATTATTACGATAAACTCGTTTTTGTTACTTTGAAAATAAGACAGAATAAAAACGGTTTAAACTGTGTAGAACAGAATTTTCTATTGTAAGACATTTTTGTATGATTCATCTTAGCCTATAGAAAAACTTTTTATCTACCTTTCGATAGATTAAGATTACTCTGTTCAGTTCTACAATTGAATTATTCTTCATTAATTAGAAGTAGACTAATTGCCAAAAGATTGTGAGGTTATTCCCGTCGGAATTGCTTTGCATCCAATGGTTAATAGCCAAAGAAGAATATAACTGTTACTCACACTTTATTTCAGCAAATTAATAACTATATATAGTATATTTCAGCTACAGGAACATTCCTTTGGGAAACTGGGAAAACCAGCTATTGTACAAGAGAGAGAGAGAGAAGAATAGAAAGGAAAAATACCCATGGGAAAGAGTAAGAGAAAATAATACATCATAGAAAAACAGGACAGTGAATACATATAACGAAAGAACAGAAAGGGAAAATAACCATCGAGTGAAGAGAACATGTATATTTGAAAGATGACCATTGCTGATATGAAATTTGGTTTATACTTCCTAACA